ATTACTATTGAGTCAACACATAAATACCGACAGTCAGTAAACTAGGCACCGCAGACCCATGTCCCTATGGTGAAATGTCTTTGTCTTGACCTGGCCCCGTTTATGCACCAAGAGCGGGAGCGATTTTCAACACCATTGAGTTAAATGGGGCTGTATATGCACGAAGAGCGATAGCGGTAGCGGTTGACCTCCCGCTGCGTTTCTAATTCGACCGCTGTGTAGTTAGAAATCGCAGCGGTTGCTTGGGATAGAGCGGTTTTCAACTACATTGAGTCAAATGAGACCGTTTATGCACGGCGGGAGCGGGAGCGGCTGCAGCCAGGGTTGCCAACTTGACCCACGCGCACGTGCACTTATACTCCGCGCCAAAGCTGGTGGCGGCTGAGGGATTAGGACAGCCAGGTATGACTACATCAACGATCACATAAGGCCCCTCGCCCACTATACGATTTCGGTCGTACGACACTGTGTCGGGACAACATTTCCACAGTGAACCATTGGATCTAATGAGAGCTCGCCCACTGTACGATAATCTCACGACTACGACAAACTGTCGTGAAGCAGTCGTCCACTGCCACTGTGATCCACGACTGTCGTACGACTGTTTCACTCGCAGTGGCGTACACAATCAAATGGGCGCTCGCCCACTATACGATTTTTATCGTATGTCGTGCGTTCTCCCCAGTAGTCTTATATATACTTTTTGCAATTAACTCATACTTAGTCATTATTATAGTTGTTATATCACTTTGCGTATTTCTTATCGTGAATAAATATTTTTTACAATTCATTCATACTTTTTTATTATAATGTTTGATATATCACTTGATCTTATTTTTCAACCATTATTTTGCGTAATTTTGATCTTCCTATTTATTTTTTTACAATTTGGTTATATTTTTCCTTATATTATGTTTAAATACTGCATCACTTATGAGTAAATATACCAAAATAATTATTGAAAAATGCGAGTTTGGCTATTATTATTGTATAATCTTAATTATTAATTAAATTGTGTAAAAAAGTTTCACTAAAACATATAAATATATTTTTTTGTAGATTATATTGATAAAATTAAATATATTTAAAAACTAATCCAAAAACAATTAACATACCAACTTTTTACCAGACTATCCCAAAACCCTATGATAGTTATGGTAAATTTAAAAACTTGTAAAATGCATGGACTAATATAATTTGAAAATTTCTTTCAATACATTAACTTAAAAAATAATTTACACATAAAAATAAATGTTTCTTTAATGCTGTAGGCCTACATTGGCCACTATCGCTTAATCTACGCCACAGCAGCCACATTGCAACAACACGTAACGGAATTATTGTTTTACTGTTTGATACAGAACCACTGTTTTAAGATATTGCGCAACACACCCACACCTCACTCTTCCAGGGCTACCGAGCAACTGGCCATTTATCCGACAAAGTGTCGTAAAGTGGGCGAGGACCACACATATGATAAGAATATCGTACGACACAGTGTCGTACGACCGAAATCGTATAGTGGGCGAGAGGCCTAAGACCACATGGACTACATAGGTCGGACCTGCTCACCGACCTGGCCGTCCTAATCCCTCAGCCGCCACCAGCTTTGGCGCGGAGTATAGGACAAATAGTTGTGTTAATTATTTGGCAGAGTTTGAGTTGCCAAGACTGTGTCCCCCTTCCATTCTCCGTTGACCAACCGCTACCGCTATCGCTTGCACAATTTTGACAAAATTTTCACAGCGGGAGCGGGCCCGCTATCGCCCCGTTCCCGCTCTTGGTGCATAAACGGGACCTAACGCTGTATACATGTGTCCAGAGAGTTACGGGAAACCCTGTGTATCTTGATCAAATTTGGCAAATTTATTTATTTCATCCTATACTATTGTTGTTTGGTCAAAAACACTGTTTAACTTCCCCGTAGTAGCAAACCTAAGCACTCGTTAAATCTAATTTTATTTAAATTGGTAATATGTCTTATTTATGGAAATATTTGAGTAAATATGTAATCAGACAAGTTGAAATTCGCTGAGTCTGCAGGTTTGCTGCGGCGGGGGTATTTTACCTTTAGAGCCTCTTTATAGCCGACATACACAAAATAATGAGAAATGAAGGTTTCACATTATTGAGTTGACTGTCAATCCTCGTTTTTGATTGTGTCTCAACAAATGTTTACACTGTAGGGTTGCGGATCAAATAATACACTAAGTTTACAGTCTCCTAAACTAATTTTTTCGGAAAAATTACCCTTAAAAGCCTTTTATTACTGTGTACTATAGGTACAGATACGTTACGTAATGTACCATAATTACTCAACATATGACATTTTTAAACAGTTTTTATACATATGAGAAGTTGTCTGCTTAGTTTGAAAATAAACCTTTAAGTTGACAGTTTAATGACAGTTTCGAAATCCCCAAAATCCCAACTCATACCATCAAATATCCAAAAATTCCCAACTTTTACAATTTTTAAAGATTATTGGAAGGGGGATGGCTTCCCCCTCTGCCCCCCTTACATAATGTCCCTGCTCGTAGTTTGCCACTATAAGCCAATAATCCGTTTCAAAAACGTGAAGGAATACGGCGTGAGTGATATAAACCTATAACTTGAGATAGAACAATATATGTGAACAAGCCCGAGTGTATGACGTCAGTCGTGAGTCGTCTGCTGCTGAGCTGACCATTTTATCCACCAGATTGAAAAGAGCATTCAAGTGACCAACATTTGAAACTATACGTTGTTAATATTGAAAAGACCAGATAACTGGCGGCAAAAATCTATATCTCTATACGTTCTAGATTAATTGAATCGTAAATCTTTATTCAGTGATACGCTACCTCCTAAGGGGCCTGCTAGGAGTTAGAAAAAGTCTTAAATTTAACTATAGGTGGACATTCACATCAAATTATAGCTCTTTATTAGTAAAATACAATACCACAAATTTAGCTCAAAAGAGCATTTGAGTAAAAATTGCAGCAGTTCAAAGATTCAAAATGGTGGATCAAGAAATCTTTAAACGGCTGACACCTTTGACTCTGTTGTTTGAGTTCAAATTTGTGGCATTGTATTTTACTATTAAACCCCTTTAAATTGATGTACACATATAACAATGCTTACATTTGAGATTTGCATCTGACTCCTAGCAGGCCATAGGGGTTAGCGAATCAGTGAAGTTAGAAGGGTTAGCCAAGCGTTCGACGGCGGGCACCGCATAGTCAATGGTAATAGCTACCGAGATAAAGTTTTAGAATAGACAATGTCCAATATTTTTATGAGGTTACGGGTTTTATTCAACACGTATTTTGGAAGAAATAACGTGATTAATAACTCCTATCATGTAATACAGTGCATACTTTAAGCACGTGCACGATATTTTTATCAGCTTTTTAGTTATTTATGTTTTTTTTTATGTTAAATAGACTGCATTTTAATTAGATATAAAGTTTTGTAATCACAGTTAAATTGGAGCAACCTTGTTTTGAGACGAAAACACGAAGAAAAAGTCAATTTTCACAGATTTGTCAAACTGATATTACTCTAAAACTATTTGAGATAGAAAAGCACTTTAAATACATAAGTTGTAGATAGTTTAATTCTACACTAATGATTTCATCAGATTTTAGATCTAAGCTTTAGTTTAGCTTATACAGAGCAAATTATAAGACTTACAAGGTAGTTTTTCACCGGAAATATCTTTAACTCCCCCCCCCCCATACCCCCGTTAAATTTATAACTATGTAAAACCAGCGTCTTAATACATATATACGCCGCACAGACACCCTCTATTCCAAATTTGATAGTTCTAGGTCGTTTGTGTTATGAGATATAGTGATATTTTAGTGATTGGCATTTGCCTTTATAAGATTTACCACCTATGCTATACCCCACCCACTACTACTATCCATTTACTAAGGCTTTTATAAACTTAGTGTATAGTTTTCTATTATTTTGCAGTACAGTGACGTAGAACACCTTTTAAAAGGTATTCCAGATGAGTCCTTGGAAACTCTCAAAGGTAGCCTCGAAAATACATCAAAAACATATCTTAATGGAAGATACAAGGCGCACTTCAGAGGTCTTCAAGTATGTCCGTAACAGGGAAAACTTGACAGGGAAAATGGAGGTAAATTACGTCAGATGAAAAATTAAAATTACTGATCATACCCCCTGATATGTTTATTTTTTTTTGTAAACCTTTAAATACAGAATTATTTACAGGGAGTGGCAAAATTATCTGGCAGTTTTCTTTTCCGCCCCGTTGAGCGAGTTAGTGGTGAAACACCCTTCACCACTGGGAATAGGGGCGTTCCAGAGCCTACGTGCGGACATTTTTAGTGGTCATGAAGCTATGGAAGGCTGAGTGGGATTGTAGTGGATGTGTGTTTTAAAAGTTGTAATTTCTGTGTAGCTGTTCAGTGGCAGTTCTATAGACTTTTCAATGTGGGTTTAAGGGGAAAGCCCCAACTCGAGACACAATTTTGCTGTGGGTGGGTATATAACTTATATATTTTATAGCCGCTCCCTGTACTAAATATTTTAAAGACTTATAGTGATTATACCCTTTAAAAATTACAACTAAAAATAAAACACAATGTTATCTTACAATAATGTCTTAAATGGAACAGAAAGATGTCCTCATTTCTCAGTTCAACGTTTGCCTATGTGGCTCACACCACAGCTATGTAGCCATTCTTCATGTCAACATGACAGAAAACCTTTAAAATATAGAATAAAATAGGTAGCGCATGAGTTTTATTCAATACATTTTTCGTAAAATTAACTCGAAGATTTCAAGGTGCGACTAAAGTAGCTCTTTTTGAACGATAAATTTGCTGGAGTCAAGTGAAACGACGATATTTTCTTTAAATCGAGTCAAATGATTTTGCCGAAGGAAATAGTCACGAAGGAAAGGAACTGTCTATTGGTAGTTTGGAAATCATTGGTTATTATATTTCTGTTAGCATTTTAAATACAAAGGTAAACATTATACACAATTTAGAATATAATGTCATGCCTGAAAAGCTTTATTTCAGTAAAGTCAATGACATGTTTTGTTAAATTGCAACAATAGTTGTAGACTTGTTTAAGCTGTCCAGGCGATCTCCTTTGTGTAAAGATAGCAAAATTGTCCACTCTCATCTGAAACAAACATTATAATAACACAAAGTACAACTAACCCACGTATACTAATTAATTGTGGTGAGATTTTGAGATTTAAAATTTTGTAACAGCTTACAAATTTTAATAGTTATTGAAATAGTGAGTAGGCATATTAATTTTTATTTGTATAAAGATACATTAATATTTATACGCATCACAAATTATACATTCCTGTGAAAACTAACATTATTTACCAAGATTACTAAGATTTTAGGAGTCCAATCCAAAATTATGGTCTGCAAGTATGAACAAGTATTTGTCCAATGGTCTGATAATCACCCAACCTTAAACTAACTAGTCAATTAGTTATACAGTATTAACAATTTACCTAATAACGTAAAACAATTTGGAGGGATATTGATTCGTCGGGGTCACAATAAACTTACAAGATAACGAAGATATGGGTTATTTTTGCAGTTGGAACCTCAGCATCATGAAAGGTAACCATGAAGCTGACCCGAAGAAGGCTAAGAAAATAAGGGTAGTCCTGTAGGGGTTGTCAGTCCTGAAGGGTAAAGTCTGTAAAGAATAAAAAAATTAGGCCTAAGAAAAGTAAGACTGATATATGTTTTGTTAGGCTATGATTTAACTACCTTAACTTTGCTTAAACTGGGCAAGGCTGGGTAGGATTCCTGAAAGGATTGTAGGAGCCATCCGTGACGTCATATTTGTAGATTTCAGAGGAACAATTCCATGATGTTTATACTTTTTCGAGTTCAATTCAAAGTTGCAATTATTGCAACTGTACTATAGACTAACCAACATGTATGTGTTATCATTGTTTTATCTATGCCTGTCTGAGAAAGTCATTGTCAGACACCGCCATACATCAGGATGGGAAGTTACAAAATAGATTCTGACTAGAAAGTTTAGTTTTATATGTAAAGTGTTAAGTGAAAGTCAAAACCTGTGTTGGAAGTATAAACGAATTTACCCTATGTTAAAAGAAAAAATTTCTAAAATTTAGATGCTTTAAATGAAGTAAATAATATGAAATATGGTAAAATTTAGAAATTCATCGTATATTTCACCATACCATCTCCTCAAGTCGTCTGCGAACCCTACAATGTATACTTACTTTATAAATTTTGAATAAACAACCAGTTTTAGTAATCCTGGAAATGTTTAACATGGGAAACGGACCATCAATATGACGTCACGGATGGCTCCTACGATCCTTTCAGGAACACGACCCGGGCAAGGCTTGTAAAGGGTATACCTAAACAGAACACATAATGGCTTGTAAATATAACTTAGTTTAAACATAGGCTAACAATGATATTGTCAGCCAATGTTTTAACTTCGTTATGTTTAGTTAAACGGTTAAATTGAAGGAAAGAGACCGAAGGGCTGACACATCTTTGTTGGGCTATGGTTAAGCTGTGTTGTGATTGTTACATTACAGTTCGATAGCTTTGAAAATGTTTACACACGTTGAACACAGATATAGTCATTTGTTTACTTAAGGAAATGGTGAATGACAATCATCAAAGTGTGAAAATGACATAATTAGTTCTAGGTTGGCTGTTTCAGTTGGTCAAACATGTATAAACTAAGCCCCATTGTTAATTTGAAATTTTATTATTTGATTACGTGTTAGTCAGGTTAAGTGTAAGAAAAGGCCAGGTGGCGCTTACTTTGCCATACAAAAGAATGTTTCTGTCAATTATTTGTATTTACAATTTCATCAACTACTGTTGTGCCCTTAAATATATTAAATTAAAACCCATTTTGTTAGAGCCACTTCTTTCATTGTATTTAATAACAAAATCCAAAACTTAAAGTAAACATGAAACAATAATATATCAAACCAGATGACAAGCAAATAAACAAACTATTAATGTAGACCTCAGGACATCTCCCTCTTAAAGTTCTTCTATGAACCTCTTGGCAGGTTTAACAATTCTGGTAGGTCTGTGTATGGTTGAAGAATGATTATGTAGGTTGGATCTTGGTGTATGTGTCTGTCTTGGAGGAAGTGTCTGTGTATGGGGGTTTTCTTTATCAGGATTTTCTCTTTCTCCAGAGGAGAACATAGGGAATAAGAATTTTGAATTCCTGATATATCTTCCTCCCTTTTTTGTTTCAACGTTATATTTCCTGTTCTCTAACTTCTCCTTGATTACCCCTTCTTCTCTTCGGTCCGATACCCAAACTTTAGCGTTTTATGGGTAATCCTTGACCTGGGTCACTCTATGTCTTTTATTGAACTGTTGTTCCTGTTTCCTCTTTTCTTCCATTTGTCTAAGTCTATATCTATTGTGATTTGGAGTGGCTGGAAGTAGAGTTGCTTTATTCACTGGTAGATTTGTTCTTAAAATCCGTCCCATTAGTTGTGATGGGCTATAACCACATTCCTTTGGCGTCGTATTGTATGCCAATAAGCCCAGATGTCTATCCTTACACTTCTTTAATATGTTTTTGAAGATTTTCACACCACTTTCAGCTTGACCATTGCACTGATGATGGTATGGTGAACTAGTTTCCACTGTGAAGTCGTATTCTGATTTGAATAGTTCCCATTCTTCTGATAGAAATTGCACACCTGAGTCTGATCTAATTGACTCGGGGATGCCATGCTTTTCAAACGATGTCTTCATTGATTTAATCAATATTGCCGTTGAACAGTTAGATACCTTATATACATCAATGTATTTGGAATAATAATCCATGAGAATTATGTATTTATCATTGTTGAATTCACAAAAATCTACTCCGATTTTCTGCCAGGGTCTTTCAGGAACCTCTGTAGGAATCATAGGATGGCGAGGAGGCACTCTGTCAGCAATGCATTGCGGGCAATAGGTTACTTTTTGTTCGATGTGATGATTAATTTTGGGCCACCATACTGACATTTTAGCCCTTTCTTTACATCTTTTAATACCTTGATGACCTTGATGAATATTATCTAACATTTCTTTTCTCAAGGATGGAGGAATCACTATTTGATTATTTCTCATAAGTATATCTTCATTGATCGACAATTCTGCTTGATGATCCCAGTATTCTTTTAATCTTTCATTTAATAGGTTCTTATTTTTAGGCCATCCTTGAATTGTAATATCTAACAATTCCTGTAAATCTTCTCTTTGATTTTTTATTATTACATCTAATTTATTAGATGATACTGGGATTGATTGAACTACTGTTCTTACACATGCTTCTGCTTCTTCTGCAAGTTTCTCAATATCTTCCTCTTCAGTTTTGTTGATTGGTGCTTTTGATAACGTGTCGGCAGTTGTTAATTGTTTTCCTGGTACCCACAATATGTCGTACGAATATCTCATTAATCTCATTTTAAATCTCTGAACTCTTAGCGGCAGTTCATCCAAACCCTTACTACTTAAAAGAGGAATCAGAGGTTTATGATCAGTTTGAATTTGAAACTTCAATCCTGTTATAAAATTTTTGAAACGTTCACATGCCCATACTATTGCATAAGCCTCCTTTTCAATTTGTGCATATTTCTGTTGAGTCGGTGTTAAGCTCTTTGATGCGTAGGCCACAGGTTTTAAATGTCCTTGATGTTCTTGCAAAAGTGTTGCACCCAAACCATAAGCCGATGAATCGGCCGAAATTATAGTTCTCCTTTTCAAATTGAATGGTATTAAGGCAGGAGTTGTAAACTCTTTAAGGCTGTTTTAAATGATTGTTCTTGACTAGGACCCCAAACAAAAACCCTATCTTTTTTTAGTAGTTCCCTCAGTGGTTGAACGATATCAACAAGGTTTTCTATGAATTTTCCGACATGATTCAACACTGGGTGTGGGGAAATCGATTATTGCTTGTAAGTGTTTGGGATCTGCTTGAATCATACCAGAAGAAATAATGTGACCTAAGAATGAAATCTTTGTTTTTCCTATTTCACACTTGTCATTTAAGGTAACTCCTTCTTTTTCCAATTCTTGTAACACTCGGTCTAGTCTGCTGTCATGCTCGGGTTTACTTTCTCCGGTAATTAAAATATCATCCATATAACACAAAATTCCTGGGATGTCTCCAATAATACTTTTCATCCTGTTACAAAATATTTCCGGGGCTGTTGAAATTCCGAAGGGAAGTCTTTTAAAACAAAATCTACCAAATGGTGTTATAAATGTTGTCAATTTTGAGGAACCCTCATCTAGCGGTATTTGCCAAAACCCCGAATTAGCATCTAATTTTGAATACCATTTGGAATTCCCTAGACATCCAAGTAAGTCCTCAACAGTATTAAAAACGTTATTTTCTCTCTGTAAATGGTTGTTTAAAGCTGAAGGATCAATGCATATTCTTACACTGCCATTAGGTTTAGGTCTTACCACCATTGGATGACACCACTCCGTAGGCTCGCAAACTTCTTCAATGATCAATCTTGAAATGTTCCAATTTCCCATCAAGTTTTACATCAATTTCAAATTCATTCTGTTTATTGTAGTTCCTTGTTGTCGCTCTTATTTTCTTAACTTCAGCTCTGTTAATGTAATACCCGTCCTCGCTTCTATTATCCTGTTCCAATCTGTTCTCGGTATTTTCCTGAATTTGATTCAGGGTTGGGTTTCTGTATTTATTGTTCTGATTTCTGTATTTATTATTCTGTCTCTTTTTACAACATCGGCTGAAGTGTCCTTGCAATCCACAGTAGTAGCATTCAATATTATTCTGAGCAGGACATTCCTCCTTAGGATGCCTCTGTCCTCCACAGTAAAAACAATTAGAAGTATATTGTCTTATGTTTTGTTTCAAGTTCGGATGTTTTTTCACTTGGTCTATTTCTGCAAAATCTTGTTCTCTTGATCTGTTAACAGTAATTTGTTGGTTCTTTATAATTTCACTTTGTTTCAATCTATTTATTGTTTCATGCAAGGTTAGGTCAGCCATCAGTTGAAGTTCCTTAGATAACTTTGAATCTGTTATTCCAACAATGAGTTTATCCCTAATAAGGCTGTCTTTCATGTCTTTGTAATCACATGAAGAAGCTAATTGATGTACATCTGTTATAAAATCGGATATCGGTTCATTTTGCTTTTGTACTCGTTGATTGAATTTCGCTCTCTCATAGGTCAAATTCACCCTTGGTGTAAAATACTTATTAAGTTTTTCCACCACTTTATCATAAGTCTTTTCATCTTCTTCTGTTACTCCTGCTGCTATTAATACATTTTCAAACCATCTTTTGCACATTCCATCGCATTTTTTTAATAGTGAATAGAACAATGTCCCGCTTTTTGAACACAGTTCGGTAACTTGTATGCCGGTGCAAGCAATGACCATAAAACACTGCACGACCATAGCTATGCAACATGTGTTCACAAGAGAACAGAAAACTATTAAAACCTGAGTGCCAATTACATTTTATTATGTTTCGACTACGGTTTGAAATCTTGTTTACAATACCTTGACGAGTCGTATATAGCCAACACATTCAAAGAGAAGAAATTTTCTTCTCTTTGAATGTGTTGGCTATAAACTTAAAGTAATTTCGCCACTATTTAATAGTGGCGAAATTACTTACGGACGAAGAGTTAGAGTAAAATTAGTTGAAAACAAGAACACACGCTCTTTTGAAACTGTTACAGTTTGGGTGTCATTTGTGCGACATGTCACTTGTTCGTCAAGCCAGTTGAATGTATTTTTTAATAATACAAAAACCACTTTGTTGACAAATATTTGTTTGCCAATATCGTTGACCATAATGTAAAATTCATTTAATAGTTTGTCGAAAAAGTGGTCTTTGTCAATTTAAAAAGACGATGAACTGGCTTAGCGACCCAGTGATTTGTCGGACAAATGGCAGTCACCCCTATAACTTTTCTATCTGGGTGCTGATTGCAGGGTGCAAACTGGTTGTATTTTCTATTTTAGCATTGGATTTATTTATTTATTTTTAATGTGTATGTTTTCTATGATATTCTCTTCGTTTCAGAGACATAGCCTTACAAGGTTTTGTGGACTTGTAAACCAACAGCTTAAGATCGGTTGACAACAACCCAATTAGGTAGACTATTATTACTCAGAAAAGTAATGCATTCGTGATTGACCAGATAAAACACGGCACTCACAAAAGAAGTCCTTATTCATAACTATGACCACTACGACATACGTGTTCTTTTGGCGGATTTGTTAAGAAATATCTTACTTCGGTCCTAAAACCATAAAATAGATTTTTTGCTGAACTAGAACACCTGTTAATTAAAACATTTTTCAACACGGGTGCAGGGTCACACGCGACATTATAATATGATAACAAAGATATCCTTATCACTACAACTAACAGATAACCATAATCTAGACTAGTGACAAGCTGATAAAAAAGTTACAAATGAGAAACATTTCAACCCTGATGTAAAAAAATTGGACGCCATATATTTTAAAGACAAATGTGTTGTTCTCAGTTGTCAATAGTTCGAGTATAGAACTTTCAACCCCAAATAGGGGTGTCAATCTTATGCCAAGCAATAGATATATTTTTCCTACAGCTTTACAACGCGTATTTGTGATTAAAATGAAGTAATAGATATCCAAGTGACAAAAACCAGAAGGACACCATTAAGACTTATTTACTGTTGATTTATTCGTGTTGGGTAGGTAAACGTCTTCAGATAAAGTAACTGTCTGATGACTATGTTGTAATTCATTTCTACTAAAGACTCTATGAATAATAATGTTTACATGCTCATTAATCTCGTTATTATGAAATAATGAGTTTATTCCTTCAAAACAAATCGATACAAAATAATACATTTACTTGGAACTAAAATTTATTTCCTTAAATACAATTTAACTACTTTCAAAAAAAAGTTAAAGTGTTTGACATTTAAAATTGAGGTCACAAAATAACTAATTATTAGTAGCCTAGGCTAACAAGTTTTAACGTGCACTTTATTTTATATTGTATTCCACAAGTTTATGCCTATAAAGTTCTTTCAGTACAAAGAGTTTTAGTTATGTAAAATTATAAAAGGGGTATAATTTTATCTACTTTCTTCTTTGAAAGATCCAGTTTTTTTTTTCAAATTAACTAACACAAACATAATTAAACTTTGTAACACAAAAAGGAAATTTCCACACCATTGAATTGTTAACAATATAAACGATTCTTTGCAAGTTTTAAGAAGGGTCAGACAAATAAAATAGAGAACAAAAATCATGTAAATTAGCTACTTAATTTTTCACCCCTCTTCTGGCAGGTGAACACATATCTTTGAAATTTTGTGAGGTTTTATTAATCTTTGGACAATGATATTGTTACAAAACTTATTTTAGATACAAAAACAGAATAATAATTGCCTTGTTTGTGATATGTGGATAGGCACGTTGACTTGTGACGTTTTAACTTTAACGTTTTCTGCATAGTGTTAAACAATAAATTTACTTGAGCAGAGCCCAAAATTATAAATTATTACTACTAAATTCTTTAGTTTACATAATTTTATTTACATTTAAATCTCGTCCTTTGCTTGAATTTAGGGATGTTCTTAATAAATTTTAAATGAAGTTAAAATATACCAAATAAAAAATATACAGTCCGATTGAACCAATGGGTTGATAAACATTGTCCAGTTAAAGACATGTTATTTATGCCAAAAGAATTATAAAAAATGTTCTATTCGGTTAAAATGTGTCCGGATAAGAGGGTGTCTACTGTAACTTAAATAAGGTGGTTATCTTGTAAATAGCGTCTTTAATTTCACAAAATTCCCGTACACAATTTATTCAGTAAAAACAAAAAACTTTTCAAATTAAATCTAAACATTTCTACTCACCGCTCCAGGAACCCCTCCTTGCGCAGCTTCTCTTCTGATTGCAGAAGTAGCAAATTTGCGAATCGCTGAGAGCATGGTGGTCGTGCACAGTTTAGTCAGTGTTGAAAGTGTAAAGAACTGTTAGATCCACACTATCGCTTATCACTATCGTTATGGTCTTGTTTACGATAATATGAGAACCAATAGCCTGTTCATACTGAGTTGAATCATAGAGTTCAGTTGAATCATACATAGAGTTGATATAGAGTTTTTAGAGAGTCAAGAGGCTATGGACAGTTCGGATTAGAAGAAAAAATTGTTGTTAAAGAAAGTAATAGGTTTTATTTGGTAAAAGATTTAGTGAAATGCAGTTTTTTAAAATTTACATAATAAAAAAAACTAAAACAAAATAGTTTTAACGGAATCTAAATTAAAATACTAAAACATGGAATTTGTAACAAGGCTTTTATATTTTCTGCAATTGTTTGTTCATATGTGATAATGGGAGCTGGTGTGGATATAAACTTAATTTGGTGTTAATAAATCTGTTTTATTTGGTGAGATTTTGTACAATAATGTTTTCAAATTGGCCCAAAATAAAACCTTTTTATTTGGTGAGAATTTTAGTACAGTCACGTTTTTCAAATTGATCCAAAATATAAAAAACTTTGTTCATTATACTATTGCTTGAAAATAAAACCAAAACCACTAAAACAAAAGCAAAAAAGTTAAGAATTCCGGGGCTATTACTGGCCCTGACCAATAAACTTGCTCTGACCTTAAATCATTGGCCAGTCTCCAGATATGCGGAGGGTCAGGAGTCAGGTTCCACCATACAGAGTATAATTCGTAGCCTGTGAAGCCTCATTCGTTCCTGTTCAAGACTTTAATGGAAATAAAACTGGACAGTATTTGGACGGAGTAATGAGGACCTTTACCAATTTTAACGTTATATTTACTTGTAGCATGGTTCTAAATAAAGTCTTTCAAATATTCACTGCATGATGTTTGTAGTAATAACATTATGAGCGTTTACATGCGCAAAATAAATCATATTATTGTGAAGGGGGTTTATGAATACATGAAATATTCCTTAGACCTCCAAAGATAAACAAATACAATTCGATTCATGAAATACGAGGCTCACTGGAAAATACATAAAATCTTGCTTGGCATAACAAGTAAATATGGACGAGTATGAATAACAAAATTATAAAAATAAGACTCATGACAGTTAACAACTTTTGAATAAACAGAAACTGGAATATAAAGGAAAGGCAACATTATGGTAAACAAAGGATTAAATCTTTATTTACAAACTATAACGTTAGAGTAATTTTAAAAAGTAACTTAACAATACATGGTAATGTTGTCTAAAGTTTTCTGATGGAGAACCTGCAACAGAAAAAATGTAACATTAACTTTGTGTACAATACTAAGTGTATTCAATTTAGTGTATACAACTACATCCTAATATACAGGTTGTCCCGAAAGTTAGTCAAACACCGGAAAATAGTCCTATGTGTAGAAAAATAAAAAGGAAATTAAAAAATGAAAATCTTCCCAAAAAGCAATAAACACCAATAAGAATTTAAATGAGGAGCCTTTTATCAACAACTTAATTTTATTTTAAATCGATCCTTTTAGTATTATTTTAGTTTTAAAAAGTAATTAATTGTACGATTTTTGTTTCACACAGATATAGAAAGCGTAATCTCAAGAAGCAATCGAAATCATCGTCAAATCTACCCTTAACTGTATCAACTATTTGATCTTGATAGCTTTCACAACGACCGCCCAATCCCCTCAGCATTTTGTTGATTTAATCACTACACAACGCATGGAAATCAATTGAAACCCCGCCAGCCCGCATTCGTATGATAAGTTATTTAAGATATACAATGTTATTGACACAATTGCCAAACTGTGTAAGATTTTGTTAAATGTTAATAAACTAAAGCACTGGCACAAAAGTGATTATTTAGTAATTATTGTGGTATAAAATGTCTAGCATCAGAGCAAAATCGTTTTGGAACTTAAACGTAAAATAAAGCATATACGTAAATTTAATTGATACTCAATAAAATTATATTTTGGGTTCAAATCAAACAACGACTGAGGAACTAATGTAGGTGTAGCTGACCACACCATTGCCGTTTTCAAATGTAAGTAAGTGTAATTTCCAAGCAAAATTAGGAGTACGATCAGTTGTCAATCAATAAAGTTTTTCCTTAGATGGGCAAGAATTAGAAATGTAAGACATTTCAACACAAATGCTTTTAAGTTTGATCATGACCACGGATTGGAAAAAAATAACGTAATAATTAATTGACATTCATATATTTTTCTTCGTAATTTAGCAAAACACTAATCAAAAGACACTAACCCGAGTACGATATATTTCGACCCATTTCCATACTACCTACATTTTAAAAACACCAGAGAACTTGCGCATAATTTCAGAAATCTATTAAAAGGAGACAAATCCGAATAAGTTTCCATTTTGCCTTCGTTTTCAAAATAAGAGACCAGAGACCTCGTGCGTTCCACCCAAGATCATGAAGTAAAAGTCTTTTACTCCATGCATCTTGCGTTCCACCTACTTATCCACTTCTCAGGTTATCTGTCTAATGGTCCTCGGCCCTCCCTGTTGCCTAACAGTAACCTGATCCACACATGTTTCGGGCTCCGGACAGTCGACTTCAGGGGCGCAACAGTTCGTCCGTGAACAATACTAATTGGAATGAGCACATGGGCTCACTGTTACCATATTGTGAACCGTCCAATACCCTTGAGATATCTCGTCTGATTAATAGACGTTTCCAAAAGTTCACTTGAAATTAGTAAGGATGACTTTATTTTAAGTTATTGTTTTTTTCAGGAAAGCGTTAAGTTTTAAAACTGATAACAATCAATATAGCGTCCGGCGAAGAAGTGCCAGAGCATTACAAAGTAGTGAACTTCAAACGTTCCGTTGGAAAACGATAATTACTATCTACTATGTATTATTACTATGTATTTTTTTCTCCAGTTAGACACCGCCTCTTCAATATTTAGAAACTCCTGGTCTATGAACCAGGAGAACAAAGACAACGGAATAAAGCATTGATTATAAGTCAGATAGATGATAAAGCAATTTTTCAAACTATATTTAGAATTTTACATTTCTGCTGCCATTATTATTATGTATAGATAGGTGCCTGCCACAAACCGCCATGGAATTAGTAGCACTAGAAATATTTATTTTTGTTAAAAAGAAAAGGAAAAAAATTAAATTTTGTTTGTTAATCTTTGTAAATCAATTGGACCTCGCCGACAAGTTTTGTAAATTTGGCGAGGCCAAGATGTTGTATTATCACAAATAAATATATTTGAATTTGAATGTCAAAGTAGTTTTGTTAGTTAATGGTGTAAAAAAGAAAATACCCCCGTCGCAGCAAACCTGCATACTAAGCGAATTTCCATCTACCCGGCTTGATTTCTACTAAAATATTCCCTATAAATGTTCAGATTTATTTCCTATTTAAAAAACATTAATTTTAGTGAGTAGTTAGGTTTGCTGCTACGGGGAAGATGTTGAGGTGTGTTTTTTCAATTGAAATATTGATAGCTTAGTATGAAATAAACCAAATTGCCAAATTTGATTAAAATATATCCATAAACAAGCAAACTAGAACAGTTTATTTATTCTCCGTAAGAATAACATGGGAATTTTAAATTTACAATTTTTTTTAATTTTCTCTGTAGTCAATGAACATTCAAAAACACTTCAATATACTAAATTATTTGTTTTTTTTAAGCTCTTCAAAATGGTCTAGAGAGAAATTTAGAAATTTAAAGTTTTTAGGGTCAAAAATGAGAAAAACCCATTTTTACCCCATAAAACCCCCCATAAACCCCTGATCCCATGGTCCGATTATGCTGGTTCGCGAACTCGTTCGAATAAATGTAGGTTTACACGTTTGTACCAAATTTCATCAAAATCGGATCAATTTTGCTCGAGTTATCGCGCTAACGGACACACACAAATATATATATATATATATATATATATATATATATATATATATATATATATATATGAATTTGAAAGGATTGTGTTTTTGGCCTCTGGGGACCTCAAAACGAAAAAGTAAATCGGTCCCGGGTCTAGGTCTTACCATGAGACCTACGGTAATAGCTTATTCCCTATATGGGAAATTCGCTAAAAGTCTTAATTGTTGGTACATAGGTTTGTGTAACTTCTGGTTTGCACAATTTAAAAAATATATGATCCCTATCAATATTATTATAAATGTTATAGTAATTAGGTTATTATACATTTGGTTAGGTTATTAGTATTGCTTCATATCCAGTCATGATAAAATTGCGTTGATATTTGCAAAATGAAAGTATATTTATCTGAAATAAATGACGGTGATTTTAAATTTAGATGTAAACTAGGTACAATACATAATAATCGATAAAACAGACGTTTCGTATAGTATATGGCTGGCTACAGGTCAGCGTACGAAAAATAAATCCAAAACTGTCAAAATAAACCTTGTAAATGAAAATTTATCAAAAATCAAACACAACAGTCTGAGCGGTTATTTAGTAATCGTAATCAGTTGAGAAAATGCTGAACAAGACGTCTGGTAGACATGAAATTACTCAATGTCCACAAGAACTGCAGAGTGCGATGACACAGCAACACAAGATGACGCGATCTTCACAATCAGCTGTGCTCGTCAAACATTTTTATTATACTGGCATGAATAATTCTAAGAAAACCCATGTACATCCTCTGCACAATTAATTTTGGCTGCTAGGATACTGAAGTAGTTTTTCCGGGTACATTTCCGCAAAGAACCTGCGATATATTATCGGCTAAAATATTAGATCGATATCGATTAAAATGTCGATACAGTATTAGATCGACATAATTATTGAGCGTAAATATAGATTTTAGTTATGGACCTTTTGTAATAGAATACTGTCCGTCATTCTTTTACAGTGTGCTGCTGCGGCGTTTAGGTTAGGTTTGTTTATGAAAAAGAGGATAGCACGATAAGAAATAGACATCTAGGTGGATTGATCTCTTTAACAAATTACACTATAAATCAACTGTCCTTTGTATAATGTTACCTAGTTTGTTACTATCAAACTGAGCCAAACTGTTCAACTAAATTTATTAACCAAACCTATTTTCCACAGCATAGGTGACAAGTCTTTTTGAAAAACATACTATCAATATTTATATGACGATATGCAAATCAAACTAATATTTCATCCGATAATATATCGTAGGTTCTATGCGGGACAATACCCGATATTCCATATTCAGTATACGAATGAGATGGCTAGTAAGTGTTTTACTAAGATAGAGATAGACTGGTTCATGGTTGAATTATTATCACAGGATGTAGTTCTATGGAAATTATACATTCTCTTATAGTTTTATTACGGTGGGAGCATGAAAGGTTCAATAGTGTAAAACAGTCGCTATTAAGCACGACTTCCGTAAATTATAAAGACAACATTAGTGGGAATGTGGAAAATGCACAACTGTGTGATATAGTATCAAATATCGGGGACAAAAATGTTTATCTCCTCGGACGACGATATCTCACTCCAGTCCGGTCCAGTTCTAATTGATGACGCAGAATTTTAATTGACTGAAGGCGGCCACGGTAACATATGTAGAAGGCATTTAATTGGTCGAAAATCTAGTCCGGAACGTTAATTGGAAATTCCATTGGTTTCTTATACAAACTTGTAAAAACAAGGACCCCTTCGCGATACCGTTATCGAAAGTTGAAAGTACGCAAGTACTCTATGGTAACGGCTCAAATCACAGGGTTTCTCCAATCAAAATCGTTGTGGGAAATTCGAGCCGTTTGCTGATTTTGCAAACACAACAAAACCAACAATTTTGTACAATCCCTCAAATAATATAATTTTTCAATTTTTCTGAAAACTATATTGAAGAACTTAAAACCAAATATACTTGTATTTATTATCCTGAAGTGTGCTTTTACGGTTATGGGTTGCGAAAAAAATTATAAATTCAAAATGTCTATGTTATTCTTATGGAGAATAAGTTAACTGCTGTGGTTCGCTTGTTGTTGTTGTGACCAAATTTGGCATATTTATCCATTTTGTACTAAGCTACTATTAACATCTCACATATTCCATAGGGAATGAATATACCTGATATATTAAGGAAATATTCAAGTGAAAATCGAATCAGGCAATGGAAATTCGCTTAGCCTTTAGTAAAAATACGAAAAGGGAAAATTATGAATCGTTTAGCCCCCAGGTTTAATGCGGTGGTGGTTTTTATGAAAAGGCAAGGAAGAAAATTCGACACGGTTGCGTATCAGGAAGTTTGGAGGCATTGTGTTTTCGAAAGTACCATTATACCAAGATCGGAAAAAATAAGAAAGTAATATTTTATTCACCTAAAGTTATTTTATCTTATGATATTCGAACTCACCAGATTACTTAGTAAGCGCGTGCCTGAGCACTAGGAAGGGGATGGACATGGCAGATCCGCAGTAGATGACAAAGTACGCAGTCAGCTTGTACTTATTGCTGATGTCGAAAGGCAGGTTCTGCAGGAAATAAATAAATAAATAAAAATCGCTTAACAATACAAGTATTTGAACTTATTATAAATACTATTTGAGTTGAGTACCTATGCAGTAGACTTTCAATTTTCACAAGTATTTCTGGAGATTATACCATTAAGTTCATTGTTAGGCGATTTCTGTCTTTGCATCATGAAAGATTCCATTTGAAACATGAGAACACTGCATTACAAGGTGAATTTGGAATGTAGTATAAAAATAATTCTAAAATAATCCAGGGGAAAAACATCCAACCAATTACAGAAATGTTTGTTTGACTTGAATGATGAGTTTTTCATCCAAATCAAATTTCTTTTATGATCACTAAAAATTATAAACTATTTACAACTTTGTAAATCTTTCTTTTTTCTTTTTTGTAGATCTTTCTTTGAGATCACTCCGTCTTTCCGAAATCACAGATGGGCGAAAACATTGTTTGGTGGCTAATTTTGTCTCCACAATTTATGGGTGATTTAACCAAACTCGTCAAGATTATGGATGTACCTAGCCTTTGAACTACAAACTACGAGAATTGCAGTTATTTCTCCTTTTGAATCAAATTTTCAACTTCATCTTTGCCTCAGTTTGCATATCAATTGTTAAAGACGTTTCAATACTGTAACTACCCTTTGTAAATACACTGTTTTATGTAGGATTTGTATGCTTACAATGCCGGGAATTCCACCGTCGGGTCCGTGACCATGACCACTCATCCTAGCGGCCGAGGTGGAGAACAGACGTCCAATACGACTGGCAATCATCTGGAACAAAGAGTAAGTTATTGTAGACATATAGACACACAGAGTAAGTAAAGCAGTTCACAATAAATTCCCTGTAACCTTTAAACCGTGTAGGGAACAATGAAACAATGCATTTCAGCATTGAAGTAAAGGATACAGGGATACCAACTTAGAGTTTTTTGTCTCTTGGTAATTTGAATTTGGGTTGCGTTTGAAAAACACCGAATAAAGATAGACAGTCACATATCAAGCCAGATGAACAATAACATTTGCATTGGGAAAATCTAAACTAAAATTACATTTCTTATAAAAAGTAAAAGATAATCATAAATCTATTAAGGTTGACTTAATATACATTCTAAACTTTCCGAGGTCGTTCAATGGGTTCGGCTTACAATGGGAGAGGGAGGTGATTAGGGCCTAAACAGTTTTACTGCATTGAAGTGAAAGTTTTTTTTTTTTTTTTAAAGAATGCTGTGGGAGTGTCGTGAAAAGTTGAAATTGTCGAAAAGAGAATAACTATGAAAGCTTGGAGAACTATACGATAAAAGTGTTTTCTTAATGAATGGTAGGGATTCCAAGATGTAAATGGAGGGGAAAATGAGAACTTTATAGGATCTGAAGACTTCTTTGCAGGATTTGTGATGGCAAAGGAAAAAAATCGGAGTGCCTTTTTTAAGTTTGAATATAAACTGAGTCCTTTGGTTTTTTCGGCTGAGACCACTGTTATGCAGCAATAAGTTATTTTACATTGTGCAATAATTTGCATTGCCTCCGTCTATAGTACGTAGTTTAATTATACACAGCGGGTGAATGGAATGTGGCCATAGTATGAATGCCCCCATACTAATATAGGCCTACTGCAGCTACTCTCTAAAAAATCTAACTAAAATAGCGTCACTGCATCATTAAATAACAACAACGTGCGGAATTGAACAATATTCCACAGCCTCATGAATCAAGCAACACAGCCGACGCGTTCCAAACATAACCTAAAACTTTCATGAAGCAGATCAGTACAAACGTGCTAACAGGCATTTTAATTTAATTAATATCAAGATTGTACAAGATACAATTAGCGGACTACGTTTGGGGAATACAACAGCATAAAAATGTCCCTTTCGCATCAAGATGACATTCCTGCAATTAATACTAACACTGCGCGTGTACACGACTGATTGCAGACTGGTATGTTTTAAATTGGAAGAATTATCTGCAATAATTGCACAGCGATGAACTGACTACACAAATTTCAAAATATTAAATTCTGTAAATGTAAGCTAAACCCGTTTTTTGCAACTAGATAAGATCCTAAACGCATAAACAAGTTTTATAATAGCAACGATTGAAGAATTTAAAATAACTAAATTTTGATTTAAACCGGATCAAGAATAAGCATCTTCACGTTTTTGCAAGTGTCTGCGCTTGCGCGAAAACGTGCGTCATTGCGCCATTCCGATCAGCTGTTCGCAGAATCAGCTGTTGAACACAACCATCTATATCATCCACATGCGAACAACGCCGCCACTGCCTGTTGTATATCATCTCCTACAATGCTTCCCGATATATATGAAGATGTATTTATCATCGTTTCTTGTCGATAGCACTGGTTATGCATTTTCGTTGCGTTTTATCAGTATTTATGAGTACTGCTGGTGTTATATGACCTGGTAGATTACTGAGAATGTACGTGCATGAAATATTAACTATAAAAGCCTTTACTTCTAGTCCATATTATTTGGATTATTAATTTGTTATTTATAATAGGCTACTCCTGAAATATAGAGTTTCCAACTCCCCTATTACTAATGAATGTACACGTGATAAATCACAATCGAATAAGTTATTTTTGTGAATGGATATATTGTGTCTGCATTCTCTTATTGCAACCATTTGCTATAGCCCCTCTACTACAGTATTTAACCACACAACTGATAAAATTATTGGGTCTCCTCGTAACAAACATACAAATCAAGTCGATTATGAACACGTGATTTACAGTCAGAGCAGGATTTAACTGTCACTTATTATATAGATCCAATTGTCTTTATTATTTTGGATTTTAAAAGTTTTACCAGCTCAAAAATTGCATAACGATACTGCTAAAACTACACCACATTGTAAATACATAACAATGTAATATTTCAAGAGCGTATAGTAAGACTTAATCACAAGTTTTACCTGGGGCTGATCTAAAGAAACATTTATAATGATAAATGAAGTTCAACTGTTTAGATTTGCAAATTAAAAAGGAAATGCCCTTTAAAAAGTTGAAAGACAGGCTCACCTTCGCTGAGTGGAGTTCGCTGCAAGACTGGGCTATTTATAAAATTGTACTACGACCAAAAATAATCGACCACGTCGAGTAGAGGTTACGCGACAGTGGCAAAAACTCGTAGATCATCAATGAAAACAATTACATATAAATTATCAAAAAACCCATGTAAAATGTCTGTAGATGCAATAGATGGTCTGTTAAAATGTTAGTTTTAATTGTATAACGTGCATTTAATTTCGCCAACCTCCAACCAATATCGTCGCTTACAAGAACGTAGGATACATTAATAACATAAATTTTATGTTCAACACTTTTAATAACAAATTGTTATTTAAATATCAATCAAATTCAGCTTAAAATGTAAAACTACAGGACACAATATGGTATTTTTACGCTAAGAAAATATAGTACGTGTGTGTGCTTTCAACTTCTTTCCGTACATATTTTAAATTCACTTGGTTGTATTGTGTTGAAAAAATCGAGATTTTTACTATGGCATATCAATTCCTGGTCTAGATGAGTAAGTTATTTTATTTTGGAAGTTTCAGTACTTGCACCGTTACAAATAATTAAAGTTTACTTTTACTGTTAATTATTCCCTTGTTATAGTTTATTTCTTGCTGTTCAATGCATATTTTAGGATACTAATTGTCATTATAGTATGATAAAACCTAGTGATATATAGGTTGCAAAAATATATAATAGGATGTGCATTAATATATGATAACGCCATACAGAATTTGTAGCCTATACTGACTAATGTCACAAAACAAGATAGCCCCTGCTTTATACGTTAGACTGTACAGTACGTATTACTAATATATTTTAGATGAATATTTTTAAAAGCTAAAAGCGTTACTTACATATAAAATATCCCAAAAGAAATCTAGCGGTTTGTCTATCTCCATCTGACTGCTACACCCGTTTTAAGCTTGTTGAAAAACATTATCGATCACTAGAACCATATTACAACAGCCGTACATCCACTAAACAGCTGATTTCTACGCAAGCGAAGCCGCGGCCTTAATCAGCTGTTTAACAATGTGAAAATCAGCTGTTAGCAACAATGGCGGTGTCAACAATGGTCGTGGCGACGGAAAAGGAATCGTCGTGGCTGCCACTTATTCAGTATGCAACACTGCCATGGTTGCCCAACCGCCTTTCTACCTGGGTTGGTAGTTGATAGTTGGTAAGACTGGTGCCGTTTTTGTAGAGAAGTTGCCAGGTGTGCCAGAGCACTGGTTTTGATTAGAATCGATTTCCGATTACGGTTTATTATCGCGGATTTCTGCGAAGAAAGCCTCGGTCGAAGTGTTGTTTATCGATAGACATTAAGAGTAATTCTCGCTCCTTGTTTGTGTATCAGCCTAATGAACGGGGTTTCCGGTTTTCGATTAAACTGTAGTATCAAAAAAACTAAACACAACAAGCATTTATCAAAAAACGAATTATTTTTAAAAAAAATTACGCAATCATAACACAAATAACAACAAAATTAAGTATCACTAAGATAAAGTTCAAAAGGTTGATATTTGGTTGAAAAGTGTGTTTATGGAGAAGTTAAATTAAAAAGAAAAACGTTGATAAACATGTATTTGACAATGAATACGCACAGTTTTTGTACATGTGAGATAGACATATTAAGCCCGGTTTTAGGTGGGGGAAATAAACATTATGTGTAAGAACTTAAAAAAAAGAATATGCAGAATCTTTTTTACTATTTTGCTAACTAACTAAACTATTTCTACCTTAAAAGATACTTGAGGTTACGACAAAGGAATACAAGTTGAAAATCCGCAATTAACTCCATTAATATCCATTGTATGCCTTAAACCATCTCTAAAACCTGTCATAAATCATAAAACAGGACTACAAGTGTCCAGTGATTATAGAAATCCACCGTGAAATACGTCTGAAAAAAAAACATATTGAGGTTATGTTCCACACGGCCCACCAATCACGGAGCACTAAAAGGCGGAAACACACGAAACGAGCCGACTGAGGGCGGAAATAACCGAGAACGTCCGAATGAGTGATAGCAGTTGGTGGCAACAATAGATCACGTGATTATCTCCAACTCCCGCCAAAATGCCATGTGGTTAGAAGACGGAATACATAAATGCATTAGTTAGTCATTGAAATCTAAGATACGAGTCAATTCACCGAATAATTTATGCGGGCAAGGTTTGTGTTGTGTGCTAATGTTGAATGTCGAGATAATTTTTCCATATTGGATATTGAATATCTGATCATAATTATATTGATACTGACACTGAAAACGTGGAACTAAATATGATGATTGATTATAAACCCCAAAAGTAATTCACTAAAATACTGATAACTGTAGTAGCTGTGACTTTGCATTTTTGGTCTAACTATATCAGTCATGGGAGTAAAAATGTATGAACTGTTCATTTCATGTATAGTTCAATTACAACTGGCGCACGGATGTACAGTATAAGGATTAAAGAAGGTTTCAAATAAGAACATTCATTCAAACATGAACACAGAACTGCATCTTTTGTTGTTTAGTAGCCTACAAACAAACAACTTTGGTCCCTAAAACAAAAATCACTGCAACGATTTAAGAAAAAGTATTCAGATGCTGTTCAGAAGATGATAGATGCTGTTAAAAATGATCGGATGAGTTTATATCACTTAATCTTCATGCGTAGGTTTCGTGGCCAGTGTCATTGAAATCACTTAATCTTTTACAAAAAAGTCTAATATTATTTTGCTTTTGTATATTCAAAGTCATAACTTTCCCTAAATACTGTTTTATATGTCTCCCAACCGAATACTTCTTAAATAGAACATTCGGAACAAACGTCAAGATCGGAAAAACTATCAACATGTAACTTGAAATTTGAATTCCTGGAGAAATCATTACAAAAAATGTCCGCTTTTTTATTTCACACATATGACTTAAGTACAACTAACAGTTGTACAATTCAATATTGTCAAGATATTATTTGAATGTCCCGTTCTAGGCAAGTTGATACTGTAATACCATTCAAGAGGTGTTGGTGTTTATTTATTCTATGGTTTTAGGTAGAACTATCTGAAAAGACATTAACGACATAACTATGTTTTAACCCCCCCTCATTGGGAAACAGCTGGTCTTGCCCGATAAGAACAACTTATCGCTTTATCAGCTGATCAATATTAGCGGTGGGATACGCAAAGCACCTATTATGGGACGGAATATAAATGTTTAGAAAGCTCTTATCGCTGAGGTGGGGTTGGGTGAGGTTATGTTGTGCTTTTAGCACCATCTAATATGGCGGCGAGGCGGCACTTTTGGCGGGTGTTTTTATTTCCCGCGGTCACCGCCGGGTCAGGCCATTATGTTGTCTGCAGATGTCCGTTTTGAGTCACGACCACGATCGCGATGATTTGACAATTCTTCGAGACGTATTGGGAGTGGAGTGTCGACAATGAAAGAGATTTCATTCTATCAGTTATAGAATTGAAGAATATTGCTTCACCTCTTATAGACTCTAGTTAATTGTTATAACACCTCTCAAATGTATAACCAATTTATGGGAAGGGGCCTTGGTACTCAGACTATATCTGGCACATTGCACACCTCCCTAAAAACCCTTGTTTATCAGTCATGTTTAAATTAAAATTTTGGTTTTGACATGTATATTGAAGAGGGTTTTAGTTTAATACTTTGCATAGCTACTGTATATAAATTTCGACTGGAATTTTTTTATCACAGTTTGACAAGAAGTTTCCGAGCAAAAGGCATCTCAGTTCCTTATAAAATTGACTTTTCAGAAATACCAGGATAAAAGACAGTGAGAAATAGTTACAAACGTACAGTATAACACATCAAAAAGGGCTAGATCCAGGCCAACCAAAAACTGCTACTTACTAATTTAAAACTGTCATGAGTAGCCTTCCTTAAGTAAAGCTTAATCAATGCATACTTACTCCCCATTCTAAAATATTCAAAATGTTTGCCGTACCAAACCCTAAATAAAATATTACGTCTAACAACCACAAAACATACTCGTGTTCCCCATGTTCCCGCATTCGATTACTTCCAGATCCGATAGTCGAAAGTAGTCGATCAGTCTTGTTTCGCAAGTTAATTACCAGCACGTCACGTGCGTAATCGATACATCGAGTGATTTATGATCGAGAGTTGGACGAGTCTCGAAAACCAATTAATGCTGTCCCCCATGGCTCCGTTACTCCTAATGGTTCCCGGTTGAAAGGTCCTCGGCCACGGTTAATAAATCGATGCTCAGACTTTACCATAAAGAAGGCCGACGGGAGAACATGAAAATTGCATTGTAAAAGTTAGAAACATTGTAACTATTGAATATGCTGAAGAAATCGTACAGTGTTTGATGCGATGCAAGTAAATGACTTGGAACGAATTTGGATCGGAAAAACTGTGAGGAATAATGCCGAGAAACTGCTAATAAGGAATCAGATAAGAACAACCTTTCATAAGCTAGCGATGGATAATGGCTGTCTGTCAAGCAATAATAATCGAACTGCTTTCAAATATTTTTAACTGCTAGCTAGCCATCTTCCAAATACAAATACTACCGTATACATTACCGCAATTATTGTATGCTTGACACTCAAATAGAGTATTTCTGTTAGTATAATGACGACTGTCTTTATTTTAGGTCTACCTGGGTCCCTCTCTGTTGAGTACTACAGAGTTTAAAAATAAGACAGGAGGTACTGTACTTCTTGTACAAGTCCGTTAAGAAAAAGCAAAATCACATCAATATATTTAAATAATAATATTTAGGAGCAGTCTTCAATAATAAAAAATGTGTAGTTAACCAAAAATGTATTCCTAAGAATACGTTTTTATTCCTAAATACATGATATTGCATTCAAATTAAAAAGATCGCACCGCTGTTACTTAACTTTGTAAAATGCCTAACCCCATAATTAAAACAATGAGCTTAAGTAAATGTATAGCTGTAGTTACGAAAACACGTTTCAAATAAAATTATTAGTTTATTTTATACCCAATCAGATACTGCAGTACCACCATCACAAATTACTAATCTTAAAAATTCAAACACAAAAAAATAAATAAAGCTATTAAGCAAAAATAATATACATTTTTTGGTATTTTCTTACCGTTGAAAGAGGTCCTACCCACTACTAAATGCGACTAAATTTTCAGGAAAAGCCAAGGATGTCTGCAAAGTAATCGATAGAAAACCTCGGAGTTTGCGCGATCAAATGATTCCCCAAACTGGGATATTATCCCTTCTAAAGGGAAATCTACACTGTATCAGTTCAGCCTTCAGTTGGACTAATGCACAGTGATAAATCGGGAATATTTTGGGGTGAAAATCTATTTTACAACGACAAGAGGTATATTTTCTAAACGTTCTTCAACTGTTGCATACGCTGGAGTTGGGATTCGACTTCTTAAATTCTACGTTATAATTTTATTTTATGAAGGAGTAGAATCCTGGAAATTATGTCGCATAACATATTCGTGTCTTTCTTATTCTATTTTAACAATGTGCACGTCTCCCTTTGGTTGTATAGTGAAGGAAAAATCAACAGTTAGTCGTTCTATTTGGGCATAAACACCTTAAATTTAGTAAAACTTAAATCCAGCTTATCTACGTGAAAGTATGTTTAATATACACCCACTCTGCATACATTGTACCACACAACACACAGATAGAGCCTCACACTGTCATAATATTTTATTATGAACTCTATGAAGTTGGTGATGATTGTGAAGGAAGAGGTTCATATAAGAGGTATAATTCATAATATAACACGGTCCATCACCTTCTAAATGAAAATTTAAATCCAAACAAATAACTAATTTACGTATACGAATAACATTGTTGACAAAGAATTCTGTATTTCAGATAGCTGAAAAAATATGTTTTAGAGTTTGATATCAAACATATTTTTGAGT